ACAGCGGGAGGTAAGCGGCGACCATGGTCTGGACAAGGCTAATATAGACCACAGCCGCTGATCACCTCCCTCTGCGCAGCTATGCCTAAAGCAGGGCCAACAGAAGGAGCGAAAGTGATGGCTCCAGATGACAAGCAGGAAGCACAACTGACACAGGGACACCTCCACGGCCGGCCGCTGCACTGAAGGGATAACGGCGGCCTCTCTTCTTCACCCACCGGCACACTGACAGCTCTGTAGTGGCGGTGGATGGGGCTGTCTCTGCTAGACGGAAATGTCTCTTTGATGGATGGCAATGTCTCTTTGCTCAGTTGGGTCCAGCAAAGAAACATCCCAAGCCAGCAAAGACAGCCCAGTCCAAGAAGGGACATCACCGTCCAGAAAAGAGGCATCCCAACCTTGCTACATATATTTGCTCTGTTGTTAGGGACGCTGTGTTGTGTTAAGGGGCGCTGTGATGTAAAGGGGGGCAGCGATGTGAAGGGAAAAGAGGACACTGTGGGACTTCTTTAAAGGAGGGGACTGTGATGTAGAGGGGACTACAGTGTGAAAGGTACGCTAAAGATCATAATGTACCAGGGGACTGTGATGTGTTATATCGCTAACGAGATTAGGACCTCTGCTGGAAGAAAATTTTGCTGACCGGACATTCGTAAATTTTAATTCAAGACCTCTGCTCTAGACAGAAGCAAATAGATCCCCATCCATCTGTTTTTAGCAGATTTGATTGGACATAGGTGGGTGTAAACTGACACAGTCCATTTACACCTGCCACTCCATGGAGGAGAATGGAGAATCCAATCGGGCCTGCCTAAAAAACCGATAAGCAGACACGATCGGGCTGCCTGTGTGAAAGGGGCCTTAAATGACACATCAGCAGCAAAGACATCCAATGAACACAGAGAAAAGGAGTACAACAAAAATAATTTTCCCTTTCAGTTGTTGGAGGACACAGATCTAGTTTAGATCATCACCTACTGAGATGTTCATAAGCAGTGCTGCAATGTAGCAGGCACAAATTTGAGAAAATAAACTGTCCCAAAGAAAAACAACCAGCTGCAAAATGTTACCCTCAAAACTGGCCTCAGCTGATACTACATACACCTTGTAAAATGTGGTAAACGTATGTGCCGATGACCAAATCGCTGCCTTACAAACCTAAGAAATCAATGCTTGATGGCAGAAAGCCAAAGATGTACTAACCAATTTCAGTGTGCGGTTACTTGGAACCGGGGGTCTCGGTGCTTGATAGCATACACCTATTGCCTGAACAAGCATGAAATGGTAACAGCTGAGATTAAGGCCCTTCTATATGCCCTCTATAGCCATGGACAGGGAATCTGCGAAATCCAGATATGGCATTTAAATACACCCTAATCTCAGTAAGTACATCCAATGAGTACGGCAGCTTCTTTAGGGTGGACTTGTGACAAAGCAACGAAAGCACGTCTTCATTCAAGTGGAAAACCGATACCACTTGAGGCAAAAAGGAGACTTGGGTGCAGAACGATCCTATCCTTATAAAGAATGAAAAATGGAGGCTGGTAAGACAACAACTCAAAGACGCTATGATCCAAAGTAATGCTACTAGAAGGGCCACTCTCTAAGAGTGTTAGCAGCAGAACTACCTTAAATCATTGCAAAGAATATTTTAATGCACACAAAACCAGATTAAGGTCCCACAGTGACATCAGTGGTATGACTTGAGGGAGGATGGAAGTGTGCAACACCCTGAAATAGGACTGCCAATGTTAACCTTTAATTGTGTTTAAGGCCAACAACTGCTCTAGCCTGCACTGAAGAAAAGCCGGGGGAGGGGCAAGAGAGAAAGAACAAAAGCGTACCCCTAGATACACACCAGACAAAATACATTTGCCAAGTACGAAAACAAATCTTACGAGATATGGCTGGTCCAGCCTTAGAGCTCATCTATAGTTAAAATGTCAAATCTTATATTAATTTCCACATTGTATTTCAATTATTTCTGGCATATTCCTATTATTCTTAACAATCTTTAAATTTGTATCCTTACTTTGTAAAGATCCCCACACACTTACCTCCTTGAATTCTGTGACATTCGATATACCCTGTGAGTAGGCACTGCTGTGTCACATATTCCACAGAGAATGCCTTCTGAACTACTGAGGTACTGAGAGGGGGAGTTACATAGTTAGTCTGAATGAAAAAAAGACAAAAGTCCATCCAGTTCAACCATAAAAAAAAAAAGTTATAATCCTATACCCACAGTTGATCCAGAGGAAGGCAAAAAAAAAACAGCAAAGCATGATCCAATTTGCTCCTGCTGGGAAAAAAAATCCTTCCTGATCCCCTGGGAAGCAATCGGATATTCCCTGGATCAACTTTACCTATAGTCAGTACAGGAATCACTGCATGCAGGCATTAGGCTACCATGGGATTTGTAGTTCTTAGAAACTAAACTGCAGATGAGAAGCTGCAAAGCATGCAGGGAACTCAAGATGTTGTGAAAAGTGGATGGCCAGCAACCAGGCAGCACTCACAACATGAAGAGGGATTTCTCAAGAAATCTTACATTGGATTGTCAAATATGACTATTGCGTTTACTGCTCCTACAATGTTGACATTACAAAATGGAAGTGTATGCTGTGAATAAAAAAACTCATTTATGGATAGCTGACATGGATGATAGCATCTAACAGCCCCTCTCTTCCTTAGAACTTGGCTTTGAAACAGCCAAGCCATTATCACCAGCAGCTGTAAAGCAGGGTTGTAAATCAGCCCATAAGACACAACAGGTCTTCTCAAAGGAGGTAGAAACCAAGGAGTGTCCAATAACTGACCAATATGATTCATGTACCCTGACCTATGGGGCCAATCCAGAACCCCCAGGATCACTGAAATTAATCAACTTTTACCTGCAGGTAAGCATACACTATATAACAGTGTAGTCATCCCACAGAGTCACCAATTTGATATCAAGGGTACTTTGCTCTGGCCAAAAACTTGCCTACCTATAGATGGAGGCACACCTCCAGAAGATTGACATCAGGTGCTCCCTACCGCTGACAGATTTGTTGAAGGGCCCACTCTCCTAAGTCTAGACCTTTTCGAGGTACTTTACTTCCTTTCTACTCCTGATATGTGCACTGCAGACAAAGCCAGCACACAATTCTCTGCTCATCTTCGAAAGCAAGAAACTACCCCCATGCTCTGCACCAACCCCCAATGGCTTCCATATGCCAACACTGTGGCACTGTAACTGCACCTGCACAGGGTGTACTTCAAGAAGCGGCATCCAGTGAAGCAGAGCCACCCTGATGGTTCTAAACTCCAACACACTGATGGGATGCAGGGACTCCTCCCAGCTCCAATAACCCTGGGTGAACAAAAGACCCAAGTACTCATCACCATCCGCTAAATACCTCAAAGAAAGCAGTTGTTGCATCCCCAGTTTCTCTGATGGGAGAAACATCTTGGTCTGGTTGGTATCCAAGATAAGCCACAGGTATTCCAGGTGAACTGACCGAACCAGGAAGGGCTTGGTGAAATTTAAAATCCACTCAATACTTCGACAGCGTACAAAATGGTGTTTGACAGAAAGGCTCCAGCTTTTTGTAAGACTCACCTAAAAGATGATAATTTATGAACCCCATGACTGGTATCACTCTTTACCTCAAGGTGGATAACACAGGGCTACTGCTTTGGCATACACCTGAGCAGCCATGTCTAGTCCAAAGGGCTCAGACAGCAAACTGATAACACTCTCCCAAAACTGCTAAGTATAAGGACTGCTGGCGACCCTGGTAAACAGATCCATGGATACATGTATTCTTGATATACAGCATATGATGCCAGAAACCCCCATGATGTTCAGACGAACCTACCCGACATTTCTAATCCATTTGGAACTTGCAGATTCTGACAAAAACGTTCAATCCCTTAACATCCAAGACAGGATCGTACTATTGTCCTTCTTAGGCACCATGAAGAGGTTTGAGTAGAAAACTTTGTTGTTGAGCTTTGAGCATTGTAAGAATCACAGACTCAGCAATATGACTTTCCCATAAAATCTGGATTTAACCGGCCATGTTGGCAAAACTAGCAACCAAGAAGCAGCATGACAAATCTGCATTTGTGACAGAAGATGACTATCTTGCCATGACCAGTGAGCGTCTACCTGAAGTTCTACCAAGCCAACATACCACATTTTCCTAGGATAGTCCGTCGTGAGCAATGAGAATCACTACAATGCCCTCTGTGCAAAACAGATCAGAAAAACATTTGGGGGGAGGAAAAACAGAGATCAGGGCATGCTGAACCCACAGAACAACTAGGGTATCCACTTCTTCCACCAGGATTCCTGGATACAAAGCAGTCAGTTAAGAGATCTACATCTGACCTCACCCACCTGCAGTATATGCTGTAAAATACCAATTATGTTTAAAAACCTCCCTCCCGTCTGATAAAGTCTTCCTGCTAAATACCCTATTGCCTGGAATGTAAACACATGAAAAGGCTGGAATGTGAAGTTCTGTTTTTGGACTCAAATGTAAACATTCAGGGCTACAAAAATCTTTTAGATATGGCCAAATGAATGCCATTATGACAGGAGAAGCTCATACTTCTTGGTAGTATCAAAGCTTGCTGCTAAGCCCTGCTCCCTTGGCCCATTACTACTTTTAGATGGGCTGCCTCACCGAGCAACAGTACTGTGCAGGAGACCAAAAGGATGGGTAAACTTTCAGCAATATGAAGAATATGAGAAGGCCTTTCGGAAGAAGTAGGGAATTGGTCATAACCAGAGGCTTCTTTAAGAATCTGCAGTTTTTTCTCCCTGGATATACAGTCTGCTCAAAGAGGAGTAGGGGAAAAATGCAGACACACAGCAAGTTTCACATGCTGATCTAAATGATTACCAAAGATCCAATAAAGGTCTAATACCTGAGAGATTTAATTTTATTCAAGTCATATTTAGCCCCTAAAACACAGCTAGAGTGCATGGATCAGACAGAACACAATACCTGTGTGAGCTGCTTGCACTGCTCCTTGATGATTGCAGCCTCATCCCTGGCAGAAGACAGCTGCTTCTCCTTCTCTTGTAACTGCAATGCAGCAGCTGGGCCTCCCTTATTAGCCTAAAAGAAATTAAGAACCAGAGTGAAAAGCTGAAACAACATTGTTATATTAGACCCACTATTTAAACTGCAATGCAACCATTAGCCCAGATGGAAAGTAGCAATCTAAGAAAAGTGGCAAATGTACACAAAATCTACAATGAACTTAATGTGTTAAGGCAGATGGAAGTAACCTACGAAAGTATCTTAACTCCAGGAATGGCCAAAGTGCAAATACGAGCTAGAATGTGCAAACTGCAGATGCCTTTAAAGCGGAGTTCCAGCCTTTTTTTTTTTCTCTCCCCAATGGTCTCCCTTTTCACAGTCCGTTTGGCAATATATAGATTTTTTTCCTAAATACCTTTAATTGATAATTTCTGTGTCCACTTCCTGTCCCGGCCGCCTAGGCGATTACATCATCAGGCATTCCCTAGGGCTTCTGGGATATCAGCGCCATCTATCCCAGCAGTCCTAGGGAATGCCTAATACCAAAGTCTTGTGTTATTATGAGACCGGAAGTGACGCGATAGCAGGTATTTCTTCACACTGTGCAGGTGCAAGATCGTTCCTTCGTCACACTGTGCAGGCGCAAGATAGGCTCGCGTCTTCTTCACACTGTGCAGGCGCAATAAAGTGCCGCACCTTCTTCACACTGTGCAGGCACAAGAAAGTGCCGCACCTTCTTCACACTGTGCAGGCACAAGAAAGTGCCGCACCTTCTTCACACTGTGCAGGCGCAATAAAGTGCCGCACCTTCTTCACACTGTGCACGCACAAGAAAGTGCTGCACCTTCTTCACACTGTGCAGGCGCAAGATAGTGCCGCACTTTCTTCACACTGCGCAGGACCGAGAACGGGAGGTCCATGCTGGGTAGCCAGCTGCAAAATTTCCCGGAAGAAAGTCTGAGCGGGCTTCAGGTGCCCACACTTAAGAGGACAGCGTTCACAATATGAGGGTGCAGTAAGTAATTTTATTATTTATAAGGAAAGCAAAGGATTACAAGTACAGGTGATCTCAACTTGCATTGCCTAAGCTGCCACTCTCACGTGGGTGCCTTTAGAAAAAAATCAAACGGCTGGAACTCCGCTTTAAGGTGGACAGCCCAGTGGTTAGCACTTCTTCCTGACAGTACTAGGGTTGTCGGCTCAAATCCCAACCATAGCATCACCTGCATGGAGTTTGCATGGGTTTGAACTTATTAGTATGATCAACAATGTTTATTTTGCTTTTGGCCGAGTCAGGAGTGCTTTAAAAAACAAGCCATGTAGTTCCATCTAGATTTCTATTCCATTCTATATTTATTTCTTTTAATATGGGGAAGTTTGCCTGGAAAAACTTATACAGAAGGAATCATGGATGCAGTACAGCCAGTAACTCTTCAGCCATAAAGAAGTTCATTTGAATTTTTTCCTTTGCACTATTAACAGCCAAGAAAACTACAATAGGCAAATGACATAGTCTGCAGAACCCATTGTGATATTTCCGACGGAGGCTGGCACAAACTGTTCCACAAAGCTGGAGTTCACCCAACCCTGAAATGAAACCCACCCACATTTAGGATCTCGATTTGTTAATCAGGAAACACCACCAGGAACTAGTCAACGGAAAGAAAGAGCAGAGAGAAACTCATCGCATTCTTTCACAAGTTTTCAGTAAATAGTGATCAGCATTGAGAAACAAGGCAATAAGATACTGACATTCTATACTTTACACATGGCATAACATACTCCTCTGGAGCAGGGTGCTAAACTATGTAAATTATTATAAAGCTGTTTACTAAAGACTACGGATGACTGTTTACCTCCTAACAGAAAACTACTAGCACACTTGGATTACACATTTAAAATGGTTAAATGAACAAAATACATTTTAAAGCAGAACTCCAGCCTTACCTTCAGTGTTAAAAACTGCTTACTCTGACAACACTACACACTGTGAGCTTATACAAGTGTACATTAGAAGCTGCAGCAGGTCAGGTATCATAAGTGGACACTACCTAGAAAGTCTGTATGCAAATACAGCTTGCCAAGAAACGTCCACTCCTCCAAACTCACATCCACTTATCTAGGCATTTTGAGATTTACACAATTCCTCCCAGCCCTCTGCTTGCATCATGGATGAGAGTTATTAAGAGAAGTACTGAGGCAGGGAGCTGTGGTGCCATCTACAGTACCCTGCTGGCTCCTCCCACAAGACATGTTCTGCCTGCATAGCATTCAGAAGCACAGAGATCCAGTGATGACATCATGGGGTCTATAAAAGGTATGTAAAGAAACTGGAAAAGGATTTTACATTTCATTAAAAAGTTGATTGAGGGTGCGGAAGAGAAGAAAAAACCAGAGACTGCGGACAGCACGGGGATGACCAGAGACTGCGGACAGCACGGGGATGACCAGAGACTGCGGACAGCACGGGGATGACCAGAGACTGCGGACAGCACGGGGATGACCAGAGACTGCGGACAGCACGGGGATGACCAGAGACTGCGGACAGCACGGGGATGACCAGAGACTGCGGACAGCACGGGGATGACCAGAGACTGCGGACAGCACGGGGATGACCAGAGACTGCGGACAGCACGGGGATGACCAGAGACTGCGGACAGCACGGGGATGACCAGAGACTGCGGACAGCACGGGGATGACCAGAGACTGCGGACAGCACGGGGATGACCAGAGACTGCGGACAGCACGGGGATGACCAGAGACTGCGGACAGCACGGGGATGACCAGAGACTGCGGACAGCACGGGGATGACCAGAGACTGCGGACAGCACGGGGATGACCAGAGACTGCGGACAGCACGGGGATGACCAGAGACTGCGGACAGCACGGGGATGACCAGAGACTGCGGACAGCACGGGGATGACCAGAGACTGCGGACAGTACAGATGACTGCTGACCTTTGGGGAGGTGGGGAGCGGGTACCTGAATTTGACAGGTACCCGATCTTACTTCCGCAGAGTTTTTGTTTGATCTTACCTGTTCCTCAATCCAGCCGCGCGCTGTCTTCCCGGCTTCTGTAATGGCGCTCGGCATGACAGCCGGGTGCCCAGTGCGCATGAGCGAGAAGCACTTGCGCTTTGTGATTGGTCCAGCGGCTTCTGGGATCTGTCATGTGTCCCAGGTACCGCCTTACCATTCACAAAAAGCACCGCTTCTTGCGCATGCGCACTTGGCACCCGGCTGTCATGCCCAGTGCCCACACTACAGAAGCCGGAAGACAGCGCGCCGCTGCTGGATAGAGGAACAGGTAAGGTCCCGCTCCATATTCGCCCCATAAGACTGACACTGACATTTCCCCCCCAGTTTTGGGAAAGAAAAAGTGCGTCTTATACGGCGAAAAATACGGTAAGGCAAAATAGAAGCAGACTATGTATAAGACTATTACAATCTGCAATGTTTTAGCCCAATAATAGTTTAAGAAATGACAAAACTGCTAAATTATGCAAGAAGTGTAACCACAATGACTTATAATTAGAGTTGCACCGATAGTTTTTTGGGTTTTTTTATCATCAAGTATGGGTACCAACACTTGTACTCAAGTACTCGCTGATACCAATTACCAATACCTTTGCTGTGCGAGTTGAGCCCCTATAAAATGAATGGGCTTAAGTCACACTGCAGAGTATTGCATGCAATTTGAACAGGATTGCGGTGCAATTCCTGTCCAAACCACATGTATTTCCCCTGCAGGTGCGGTGTATTTTGAGATATTTTGTATGGCTCAAATATCACTGCACCCGCAGGGAAACTGCATGTGATTCGGACAGGAATTGCACCGCAATTCTGTTCAAATCACATGGCACTTCCTTGCATTCCAATTTGAGCCCATTTATTTTTTATGCAAATGCTCAGTACCAGTATCGGAGCTACCCTACTTATAATGGTTTGGGGTTAAATTTAAAAAAATTTAAAAAAATAAAATTAAAAAAAAAAAAAACACATATGGACATACCTCTGCTGTATAAATACATATGTGCAGATTTAAAAAAAAAAAACAAACAAAAAAAAACCGAGAAAATAGAACTGAATGCCCACTTTTAAAGCAGCTTTTTTTTCCCCAGTTAGTTTACTGCATAATACGGCAATGTGTGTCATCTTACCTTATGTACCATGTCCTTTACAGAATTGGATTTATCTTTCAGCATTGCCACCACAGACATAGCCTCGTCATCTGAGAAAATCATGCTCCTTAAGGTTGCAACAAAATCCTTAAACTTCACTTCTGCATTTTCGAAAAATATGTACAAAACGGATATTATACAAAGAGAATATACACTACACAGAAGGAATGTTTCAATTGTCTTTACTCTGAAGAGCCAACAAATATGGATTCCAGATAATAAAATATCTGACATCTTCTATGCCAGTTTATTGCAAGGTTCACCTCAGTACTATATGTCCAGGCTAGGCTCTGTGTTTACAGACATTAAAGAAGTTACAGGCCATTACATTTTTTTTTTAAGTTTTTATTGGCGTAAATGTTCATACATAGAAAATAATACAGAAAAGTGTTCTTCGTTTTGCCTTTTTACTTTCTATTAAAGCTACGTATGCTGTATATGCTATAGTGCTAATCATAATAAAGCAAGGTGCAGCAACTTGCCCGTTTTGAGTCAACTCTTGTCTCCACTCCCTACCCACCTCCGAGCAACATGTCTTTTGGTCCCCCCCCCTAGTCAACTTCCAGTACTGCCCCTTTTACAGAATACAGTACCAAGCATGATTTTGTGGTGCAAAGTATTTTGTGTGGAATTTGTTAACAAGTACAAGAAAAGCAGTAAAATAGACCCCTGCAGCCAGCAAAAATAAACAGCATCCCCCAGCAACAAAAGACGCCCTACCCAGCAACAATAGACCCACACACAAAAATAGATCCTCTGCAATGACAATAGATCCCCAACATCCAACATCATTAGACCCTCCAACACCACTTGCCATTACATACATTTGGTGCTGGAGGTGCGAAACTGCGTTCCCACTGAAAAAAAAGGCACTGTGTAGTTTTCTGTCCCCCCATTGGAAATCAAGGCAGCAGCAGGAGAGCGGGGGGGGGGGGGTTTAGCTGGTTGGCTGGTGGGAGCCAAGTTGTGTGCTTCAGTGGACATACAGAGCACAGCTCTGCAGTGAGCCGGCATGAGTGCCCCCATAGCCAGCGGCTTGCTATGGGATCACTCAGCGCGGTGGGGAGGAGCCATGAGTACCGGCAGGGGACCCCAGAAGAGGAGGCTCAAGGCTGCTCTGTACAAATCCATTACACAGTGTGTACAAGCATGACCTTTTTTTTTTCCCTTTAGAATCACTTTATACATGCTCATCAATTCAAATGAAAAGAATACTTGAACAGTGAATTAACACACAGGAGTGCAATAAAAATAAACATGACCATTAATATTACCTACAGCTTCTATTTTACTGTGATCTGCTTATTTATTCTGCCTTTGTTGTTTTCCCATCACAGAAAATACTATATAAAGAGTCTCAAGGCCTAACCTGTATTAGTTATTACCGGTTTCCTTATTATTCTGTGCTTCTAGGGTTTCCTGTGATTCCACCCATCTGAATCAAATGTTTTTGGACATTCTCCAATTTAAAAAATTATTGTTATGTCATCACAATTTTTCCATACTTTTAAGCCTGCTGCATCTGTGTGCAGTATGTCAATTTTAATGCCATCATTTTTCTAGCAGAAAAAAAAAAAAGAACCCAAGAAATGTCTTGGTAGCCTTGTTCATGACTGTATAATCAATAACCCCCAGTAAGCACATCAATGGGTTACAAACTTTAGTGCAGATAACTTAAAATTATTAATGTGTTTAACTTTTGACCAAAAGGGCCTAACCTTGCCACACTCCTACACCATAAGAAAGCATATCCCTTCAGTTATCAGGCACTTATGATATAATGAATTTCCTCTCTTTCCCATTTCATGTAATCTGACGGGTATAATATGTCTATAGGAGATATCTCAGTTGGGTCATTTTATCTTTGGAGGAAAGAAGTGTGTCCAAATATGTATTCAAAACCTCTGTCCAAGCTTCCTCCAATAGATTGGGTATATAAACATGCCATTTATCTCTAGCGTGATGTTTAGCTTTAGTCTGAGTCAGGGAGATTTAGTATCTGGAGATTTGTTTAATATATTCCAAGGATATAAGAAATGTCCTTATCTTAGTAGTAAACAATCACATCTCGTCAACCAAACTCCACTGCAGCCATATGTTTAAACGGAATATATTTATATTTCCAGGTTACAGGAATATTCATTTCTCAAATCCTCAGAATCTTAGCATATAACTGGTGTGCATAGTTTATTCTGCATATAACTCATCTAAACCCCCCTTTCCTCCTACTCATTAAATATGAATTAAATCATAAAGGAGCCATTGAAATTTTTGATGTCAGAACATCAGTGGGCAGCACAGGCTCTCGCAGTTGATCAAGTAATGATATGGAGGGGCTACATCCGAACACAAGATTACGGTCCAAAGTTTGGACCTAGAATTCAAAAGGGCTACAAAGCTATCAGTTTGAAGGCTAAACACAGATACTTGCTGGTACCCCAAGGTGTTACAGTCAGTGCTCCGAGGTCTATTAATAAAACAATGATTTGCTGTTGGACTCCAGGCAAATTGTTACATTTTCAAATGCATATGTATGAATCAAGTCATCTTTAAAAAAAAAAAGATAAGCAACTTTGTTCAGCCAGTCCTTTCCAAGTAACCCTGACAGGCATCAGAAACTCAAGCTGGTGACCTGATTTTTCTCTACTGCAGTTAACCACTTACCGACCGCCCACAGTACTTTTACTGTGGACAGGCAGCGCAGGCTGGTTGGATCACATACATGTAAGGCATCCGGCCTGCTCCGGGTTAGGGGTGCATAGCGTGCCCCTCCTGAGACCGCTGTGTCTGGTGGAATGCAGATCTCTGTATGAGATCAAATGATCACAGTGTCAACAAATCTGCTATAAATGAAATCATTTATAACAGTTGGGTTTCTTATGCTGTGATTGGTCCTCAGCTATCACATGGTACCTGGGCCAATCATAGCACCGTTATTAGCTGTAGCCAATAACTGTTACTAGTGACCAAAGCGGTCATGAATGTAACCCATTCATGACAATTGAAAACTCCGCTCTTACAATGAAGCTCATTGTAACAGCAAAGTGGTAAAAAAAAAAAAAAAAATCCCTGATCAGCCCCTCTGAGTAGTGCAGTGTTACTATGGTGACAATGAACTACTCAGATGAAAGTATGTAAAAAAAATGAAAAATCAAATGTTAAAAATGGGGGGAGAAAAAAAAAAAAAGTTCACTGCGTACCATGGTATATCTAATGCCTTGGAAAATCTTTTGTACCCTTCTCCTGACTGACACCTTTTAACAATGAGATCCCTCGAATGCTTTCGAAGCTCTCTGCGGACCATGGCTTTTGCTGTAGGATGCGACTAAGAAAATGTCAGGAAAGACCTACAAGACCAGCTGAACTTATTTGGGGTTATCAGAGGCACTTTAAACACTTCAAGTCCGGACACTTTCACCCCCTTCCTGTCCAGGCCAATTTTCAGCACGATCACACTTTGAATGATAATTGCGCGGTCATGCAACACTGTAACCACATGAATTTTTTAGCATTTTTTTGAGACAGATAATTATCTGGTATTTATTTACCACTGGGATTTTTATTTATTTTTTTTTTGCTATATAAACGAAAAAGTCCAAAAATTTTGAAAAAAAAAGTGTTTTTCTTATAAAATTTTGCAAAGAAATAATATTTCTTCATAAATCTTATCTTTTTAGTAAAAATTAATAAAATAATCGACACAAATAAGTTTATAACCAAAAACTATAAATTTTTCAAAAAATGTTTTTACATTTTTATTTATTTTTTTTTTTTTTACATACGGTCCCCCTAGCAGTAGTGTCACCATGGTGACAATGTACTACTTGTGGGGGGTGATGATTTTTTTTTTTTTTTCTACACCGATTACTTTTACACCCATAAAGGCTGTAAAAGCAACCATTTCTCCTCTCTGGCTGCATTCTTGCAGCCATTAAGAAATACTGTGAGAGCTGTGATTGGTCACAGTTTGTTACATGGTACAAGGCTGTTGTGAATAGCCTTGTACCATGTGACCTCTGTGATCATTCACAGATTTCACACATAGTAAGGAATGTTAGAAGTGACATCTTGCTTACTACTCTTTATGTGATCACTGATTGGCCAATCAGTGATCACATGATCGGGACCTCACACAGAGGTCCCATACAACGATCGGTGTTCCACTGTGTCCGGAGGACACAGCGGGCACCGGATCGCGGTGCTGCGCACTCCCAGGGAGTGCGCACAAGCAGGGGTCAGGGAGGCCGTTTATAAACATCCACCCACCCCTGCACTACTCCCAATCCAGCCGTTTATATACATGGGCTGGACGGGAAGTGGTTAAATGATGGCAGCTGTGTACTGACTCCAATTTAACATGATTTTGAATGTCATTGCTTAATTCTGAACACAGCTACATTCCCAGTTATAAGAGGGTGTGCACACTTATGCAACCACATTATTTTAGTTTATGTTTACTTTCCTCCCTAAAAGATTTCTGTTTGTTTTTTAATTGAGTTGTACAGTTTATAGGTCACATTAAAAAGGGGAAAAAGTTCAGAAATTATTTTTCTTTGTCTCATTTTTTAACATCACAGAAACCTGACATTTTAACAAGGGTGTGTAGACTTTTTATATCCACTATAAATGTATGCCAAATTGTATTTCGCTACGTCTTTGGTAAAAAAAAAAAAAAATCCCAATAAGTGTATAATTTAATTGATTAGTGTGAAAGTTATAGCGTCTATAAACTATGGTATATATATTGGAAAACTGATCAACTCTTATGTACTGACTGTCTCTCTCATTTCTTGAAGCTTTTAAAATGTAAGGGAAGTATAAATACACCTAAATGGCCCCCTTTTTGAAAGTAGACAGTCTGAGGTATTTCGTAAGAGACATGATGAGTTTTCTGAAGTGGTAATTTTGTCACTTTTTTTTGGAAAATGAAGAAATTTTACTTTTATGCATACTGCCAACAGTGTAATATAGTGGCATGACTGTTCTGCCAGTGATATCAGGGATACTGATTGGTGACAGTATGTTAAAATAAATTAAATAGTTTTTTATTAAAATTAAAAAAAAAAAAATAAATAAATAAATTTTTTTTTTTTTGTTTTTGTTTTTTACC